AAAATTTGATTGTTTCAGAAAAAGAGATTGGTTAGTTCAATGAATTTGGTCTGAAATTCTTTGATACATTAAACATTATCTCGATATTTCTTGAGAATAGAAAAAATTCAGTACATCATCCGAAACCACATTCTTATCAACGTATACACTCGTACATTTATTAATGTTTTCGGTTACGATTATATATTTATTCCAGTATAATTCAACTTCGAGTGAATACGTGATGATTAGATATCAAAATTATGGTGAACATACTAATCAGAGATGATTTCCGGATTTTTTAGTGTGAAGTCATGACTACTGAAGTTCAACCGTATCTATTGAGAATAATTTATTTATTGGTCAACGACACTTGAGGGTTGTTGCTCAATACCGCGAAATGATTGGTGTTAAACATGTTAATCAATGGGTACTGACCCAGTAATAGAGAATCTAAATGGTTACTATGAGACTTGAAGTCCTTGTGCTTTGCTTATCGGCTTATAAATACTTTGATCTCAAAGTTTTCTTAATAATTATTAGTGCGATTGTTGAGAGGTCAACGAAATGATATAGTGAGACAAAGATTTTTGAACTGTCTGAATGCAAGTCTTGACATATTTGATCAGTTTGTCTGATATAGACGTCGCCATTATTGGTTGACTTGAAAATGATATAATTTTAGTAATGAAATAGAAAAGAATTTATTTCGGTTAGACGATTTTTTAAAATTTAGCTTTCATTCTAGGTCACTTTCATTCTATAATGTCACAATAAAGGCTCACTGATTAATCCTTTTATTTTTACACATAAATGTTGTTAACAAGTATATGTGTGATCAGATTGTTCGAAATGTATTACGCTAATATATCACATAGTTCTGATAATCTTTGTCTTCTTATTACACTATCGAATCCCTCACTGATTTAGACACTAATTAAAGATACCTTCCACAAAACCATACATATAATGAATGGTATTTAAAGTTACCTTTTAAGTTTCATGCAGAAATCTAAGAGTCTTTCACATGAATACGATTGAGTTTGACAGTCGAATATTGTTTCATTATTTTACATTTCTCATACATAAATAAACTACTTATTTTTTGTAAGTAGCCTAACTCTTTTAGGTATTTATACTTATCTCAGATCCAAGCATCTAAAGAATAAAAAAACTTTCTCAATAAACTAATTTCTTAATGATTCAATGAAACTAGTCGATTTTACTCAGTATCTAATTGAAAAATTCTCTAAACGAATGTTCACAACATGAAGTTTGTTTTTTATTGAATGATTTATGTGAAAAATGTTATAAATTGGATTATGAATGAAACAACACTTTGCATAGTTAAATAAATAATCACTAAGGTAAGATAAATATGAAATAGAATTCATTAAACATGTGACAAAGAATTTATATTCACATGAAAAATCAATTTTAGTTCTCTTTGTTACTAAGTAATAATCAATGAATTAAAATTTTGACTTTATTCAATTATTGTTTCAAACATAATAAATCAAATTTCAAATGAGATTTATCTTTCAAAGATATTGTAGTATTTGATCACTATGTGAAAACAAAATAACGTTTTCTATATTGTACTAATAAAATTACTTTTCAATTAGATCGTCATCAGGCTTTACTCTAATATACATGAATATTTATACGAAAATTTTAAACTATAAAGGGCCAGATAAAATCTATTCGCAGTTCTATATTGGCACATCTCATTGATAGCGGTCATGCTGTAGATAAATCAAAATCATTTCGAGTTATCTATCGTATACCTCCATCATTTCCCGACGGAGTCCGTTTTCGTCTCCTATATATAGCTGAAGCCATTGGAATTCGTAAATATAACCCCAATTTATGTGTACAGAAGAAATACGTGACCCCCCTATCCCATCCATGGCCAGTTATAACTTAACTAACAATTTTAAAAAAAATTTATTATTATCATTATTTATTTTATTCTATTTGTGTTATCGTTAACCTTATTTCCACATCCATTATTTGTTTGTAATTTTCCGCCTCTTTGTATTCTTCACCATCTAATTATTTACACACATCTTATTATGTAATGATTTTAATGTTTTGTGATTATTATTCCTAGTCTATTTACCCATGTTTATTTGACCTTCTATTTCCAACGTCTAACTATTGATAAGAGTTTTGTGATCGTATTTATTATTCTTACCACTATCAGTTCACCTGTCTTCCTACTATCAATTTGTATTCTTACCTATTATGTGTGATGACTTATTCTACTTCATTGTGATTATTGACCCATATTGCCTTGATTGCTTTAAAAAATTTTCGTATAAATATTCATGTATATTAGAGTAAAGCCTGATGACGATCCAATTGAAAACAATTGTTCGCTTATATGTGTTGTTCTAATAAAAATACGTCATTTTTAAGTTAACCAATAGTAAAATCGTTTGTATCAGATGGATTGATTCAAAACTATATCAAATGGTTAAGATCATGAGTCAGCTGAAGCTAGACCACCACGGAAAACCTGGGAGCATTGGACGGCCGTCTCGTCCTATTGTGGGACTCCTCAGCAGTGCGCATCCACGACCTCGCCCGCGGCGATTTCCGAACATAGGACCTATCAGTTTCACGCCAGGCGCTTAACCAACGAGACCACTGAGCCGGTATCCAATAGTGTTAATGTCTAACTTCAACTAATCCACAAAATTGAGCAACACATCACCCATTGTCTTCAGTGAGTTACTACCTCACAACAGACCCGGTTGAAGTTTACTGGTCACTGCTTCTCACTGGAACTCCAGGATATACACCTTGAAGCCAGTCACTAGTGAGCATTAACACCGTTGGATCAGTGATCTCGTCGATTAAGTGTTCGCGCGCGAAACCAGTAAGTCCTGGGTTCGGATCTCGCAGGGGGGCGAGGTCGTAGATGCGCACTGCTGAGGAGTCCCTTAGTGGAACGAAACGGCTGTTCAGTGCATCCGGGTTTTCAATGGTGGTCTGGCTTCAACTGACTTATGATCTTAACCATTGAAATTACTATAATATCCACAAAACCCGTCTGATATTAATCAAAACTACATTTCATATTAACTGTATAAAGTGAAAAAGAAGTTGCTAAATTTTATTTTTATAACTATAACGAATGAAAGTCATTCTACACACAATAAATGTGTAAGTCTGAAAGGAAACAGTTTCTTCACAGTGTCATAAAATTGTGTGGAATTCAAGGAGATTCATGAAACAATACTTCAAAATTGAATACAGGACGCGCGTTTCGTCCTAACCACTATCCATCTTTGATTCAAAAGCTTATGACTTACAGCTATATCATGGCTATCCGCACAGTATATATATATATATATATATATATATATATATATATATATATATATATATAACAACATGAGACTGATCAGTCGAAGTCCTAAATAACAATGAGAAGATACAAGTAAAACAACAGCAAGTCAATACTTTAAAATGTTATTAATTGTTTGTAAAATGTGGTTTTACCGTAGTTTGAGAAAAATTAGTCAGTGTTACCCTGTTTGTAATTACTTATTAGACTACAGTGATGAAAAATAAATCTGGAATAACTTGATGTGCTTAATTTGACTTAACTGTAATAAATTATATGGTATAGAACTTGACACAAAAAGTGTAATACGAAATATATTGTGTGTGCCTATATTTCATTGTTGTGTCATCCTCCTAAGATATGATCATTAAACCAAATTTTGGTCTCGGAATACTCTTTTGAAATATCCTGCTTTATTAATGTACATTAATATATATAGTGAACACACTGGATAATAAGGCTCTTGAATCTTACTTCTGATTAGTTTCAGTATTACGTCACACATTTACCATTTCGTATATTTTTTAATTACCGATTAATGTTATTTTAATATATCGAATATGAAAACAGTAATTATTGTTTAAACTGTGTAACTTTCGAAATAACTGTTTATCTTGAGCAGAATAAAGTGGCTGAATGACATTGACCCGTGGAAACCAGATTCTTAATGAACATAGAGTAAAAAATAAGTTAAATAGTTATCAAAAGAACAGAGTCCTTTTACATAAATACCATATTTATATTGTAAAAAATATATCTTAAATAGAAATGAAACAAATTTGATGTTACCTTAAATTCAGTAATTTTAAGGTTATCCTCTCACTGTGAATTCTTAAACTCTTGTGTTTGATTCCTGATGTAATTGTGAATACCCACCGACAATAAGTTATCTATTAAATTGAAACTTCTATCCAGTACACTCTGATTTCTAATGATTGATTAATTAATTTATGATATAAAACTTTAGATTAATCAATCCTTACAGCACTTAATAAGGTGTAATCATCAATTATATTTATTGCCCCATTCTATCATCAAGATATGAAGTTAGTTTTTATTTCAGTCAATAAAGACATATTTATCAATAAGAAACAATTTATAAAATAATGATGTACAAATTTCATTAACTAATTAAAGAATTTTCTTCTCATAAACAATTTCTATAGTCACATTTAATCAAATTATTAACATCGTTTCTAATTTTCTTTCTTTCTTTCTTTGTCTCTCTCTTTCTCTTTCTGTTTCTTTTTCTTTCATATTTTAATCAAAGAGAAAGAATATATCAGTCAAAAAAGGTAACAAGTTAAAAATCACAATAATTTAATATTGTATATGAGATCTTGACTACATGATCTTATCTAGAAAGGAAGAGAAAAGAAGGAGAGAGAGACAGTGGGGGGAGAGAGACAGAAACAAAACACAACTCGAAAAGTTACATCGAAGGATAAATAAATAGGTAGCAAGTTTCATTTGATGAAAATCAATTCTCATATGAAAAATTAAAAAATAAAAAATTCCAAATATTGTTTTCTTTTTTTTTAGTTTTTAATATCATCAATGTAAAGTGCATTTTTAGAAGAAGAAAAAACAAACAAACAAACCAAAACAAAAAGAAACAACAACTCACTGCAAAACAGTTTTTTAATGTCAACGTTGAAATACATACCTAATATATCTGTATGTGAAATAATGATTAGAAAAATTAAATTATGGTTAGTGATTATAATGATTGTTTATGAAGAAAAAAAATAACATTGAATTAAAGAAATTATTTAGTTATTTTTGTTGTAAATCTGCAATGATGTTGTAAATTAGGTTTTAGTGGCCCGTTATCTCATATATAACAACTTACGTGAGATTGAGTTTGTTCACATTTAATTCGGTTAAGTCATTTTTGTTAACTTATTAACGAACTAAGTCATCCGTACAATAACAACAACAACAACTTATCTATATCATTGTATCTTTATTATTGTTGCGAATGTATGAACATGTATGCTCGAGCATTGCTTACTGCCTACGTATTTATTCACGTTGCTAGTCTTATTACTAACCGCTTAATTGATTCGATGATTCATTCATTTCACTATGTATATATATATATGTCCATGTTATTCATGTTCACTGCTCTCTCTCTCTCTCTCTCGCTTAATTGTACTCGCTTACTCTTATTCATATTCGCTGACTCGCTCGCTCGCCCACTTGCCTTTCGACACAACTCTTTCATGCTAGTTTAACGCACCTGTAATTTTTGGATATCTGTGTGTGGTCCCATAATGAGCGTAATCAACACTTCGTATTCGCCTTCAGACTAATATACCGTTGTGGCATTATCTAGTGATGCTTATCAAGACGAACTGTATACGAAGTTTAAGGATTATATGGAATACCGACCACCGCACTAACTACAATTGTATTGTGTGATTATCGTTATCGATTAGAATCGCATTAGTGAATAACGGAATGAAATAAGTTAAATACGAGAATGGTTTTTTGAATACGTATATTTCGTGCAATTGTTGATCGGGAAGTAAAACAAAGCAAAATGACGCTCAATGGAGAAGACGAGTGAGCCAACATCAATTAACCAAGCATGAATCGATATTTATATTCAGATAAAAATAAGTTACATACACGTGGTGGATAGGATAAGAAGTGAACACACATACGCTTACATAAAAACAGTCATGGTTGACAAGCGAATAATCAACAAACTCAAAATGAACAAACTGGTTTGTCCGGAAACTAGAATAAGCTATATGGGCTTAACAATAGCAACCGACACTACAATGCTAAACTCTGAGACAAAACCGTAAGACAAATGATGACTTTCATGTTTAACCAAAAACACTCAATAAGTTCAGTTGACAACTAGTTATTAGATAAGGAATTACAAACAAGATATCAAAGATAAAAACTAGTCTGGCCTTACTATCGTGGAGAAGTACAACACATCGAATAAATTCAAAGACAACTGAGATGTGTCTTAGTTTATAGTGTGAATTGTGGTAATAGTGTAAAGCATTAAATATAGGTTCTTTTCATTGTTTTATTCTGTTACTTTTTATTAGGAAACCTTTGATGACTTCACTTCAGTCGTTGATTTCAGTGGCGTAATAAATATAAATCTCTAATTAAGCGGAGATGAATGGTGACTAGCAGTGAAAGTTACTAACAGCATTTCGTTGTGTTTGGGAAAATTGAAACAACTAATATATATGAGTTAAAACAAATCTCTACTGTTAGTAATGATCAGTGGTGATGCGATTTCAAATTTTATGTATAGCTGAAGCTACAACTGAAAAGAAGGGTAGGATGCAGAGTGATTTGAATATTGATCAAATCTATCACTAATACACAAATATCAATGATAAACATCATGATCAGATTTACTTAACAAATTTGGATATATATGGTGTATGCTACTTATGTTTAGAGACATAAGTATTATGTAACACCAACCAGAAGTGGAATGCCTGTCAGCAGATGGTTGAGAAGATCAAATTGAAGAGAACAAGAATTTAGAGTGACAGTAATTATAATAACAATAGGAATGAATGAACGATGAATTTTGTGAAAACCAATTGATGGAAGATGTGGAAATGAAGTATTTCATGTATGATTTTCATATTTTATATGTATGTTTTGTAATCTCTTCCACTTAGTTTTGTGTTTGTGTCTGGTTACACGGAACTCACTAACTTTGTGTTTCCGGTTTTGTTGACGCCTAATGTGTAATTGCCAATCATACCGTTTAAGGCATCAGATGAACTACAAAACTGGAGAGGTTTGAGGAATCCACCAGCTCAGTTAGTGTTTATGTATGTGTGAAAGACAGGTTAAGTTCTCTTTCTGCGTTCTTTTGTCAATTATAACTAAATTTCACAGTCTTGTTTTATTTATGTTCACATAATTACTGAAGTGACCTTCAATAGAGCGATTTCAATGTGACCTACCTTCTTTATTCTATCCACAAGCATTAAATGGCACAAAACAATTTCCGTTCAATATTAATTACGTTACGTAAACTAATAACTTATAAAGTATTCATAGACGTTTAAAAAATGGATTGTTTTGAAAAAATTAACAAAACAGTGTCTAAGTTGTTAGAGCACTAAGCATTCAGTCATTAAATAGAAGTTTTGAAAATGGCTACTTCCGATTCCTCATAAGTTGTTAAGAGAGAAAACAAGCCTTTAGATGTAAAGAACAACTAAGAATCAAGTTCATGAGGAATATCCCCCATCTTACTGTATATTAGATTGTCTTCTCTAGGCTTCATCCAGTTTCCTAATGTTTTGAAAACAATACATTACTCTAAGCCATCTTAATATTTGTCTATAAGTTTACATAGTCTTTTGGAGTAGGTTAAAGTAGGCACGTAAGTCGTTCTCATTCTGAGTATTGTGCCACCTGGTTATAGAAAATAATATGTTAATCAATAAATAGATTAATTTATGGAAACTGCTGATAACACAAAAATACCATGATTATCTATAAAGATTACCTACAAATCCAATCGACTCGGTTAAGAAAGGGTTAAAATCGTAAGCTTGTATACAGTAGAAACTAAATACTGAAACATTCAAAAACAATTCTTTGTTTGGCCATGGTAAATATGCACCAAGACTACGCAACCCAATATAATCGATGTGAACAACTATGGATGGAAACTTAACTGAAGTATTGGCATAAATCTCCTGAAACTTAATGTTCAGGGTATTTTGCATATGAAATATATTTGGCTACAGACTCAATCTATTATTAATGCTTAAAATATTACCGTTAGGCTACATAATCAGAGATCTACTAAATAAACTTGAAATTGTTGACACAAGAATACAAGCGTTCAGCAGAACAAATCGGGTTAGTAAAGTATAAATGAAATCATCTTAGAAGTATTATTTCTTATTGTAGACATGAAAGCAGCTCAATTCTTTTTAAAAGCCTGTGTTGATTATATCATCTAAAACATCAATGATCGCTTCAAAGTCATCAGTTAAATCTAGAGAATATATATATATATATATTCTGGTGATATTATTTATTAGATGTGTAGTTTAAATCTGGTCAAGGAAGCGTCAACTAAGTTATTAAAGTTTTCAAAGACTGAAATATCAAAGAAGAGTAATATATAATACGTATTTTTTCAATGAGTTTGTAATAACAAACAATGGTCTCTGTATTGTTTGATAATAAACATATATTTTTACCAAACTAAAAACTTTCATTAGGATTAACTGTATTCTTAAATTACAAAACGTATTCACTAATACAAGTGATTTGAGATAATCTTTGAATTCTTATAGTATGCATGATGAATTGATGTTCTAGTTAAACAATTGTTCAAAACCAGGAAACATTGAATAACTATTTCGGTCTAGTATGAAATTTTTTAACAGTGAACAACCCCTATCCTATCGAGAATCAAAATTTAATCATTAAACAATTATAAGTTGAGTAAAAACAATTAACCAATAGATTTTTTTCTTTTTGATAGTCCATATAGAATTCATATCTAAAAGTGTTGAGTAAACTTACTTCAACTAAGAAATAACCTGATATAGGTTTATGGTCACTGCATATATAATTTGGATGTGATCTGTAAACAATTGGTGTACAACCTCGACCAAACCAAATAATTCGATCACAATAGGCAGGAATACGATATTTTTCACTAACGGAAATGCAAAAAATGACTTTGTATGAATAAATTATTTCAATCAATTATTCAAAAAAGAGAAGTATGAGAGATATTTGTTTCTCAAACGAGATTTTTCACGATTTAATATGATCGAGTGTTGAAATATACAATCTTATTTTTCTTTACATATATATATATATATATATATATATATATATATTCTAGACGTATTTTAATGGTAGCTTGTAGTTGTTTGAAATTATATTCACGAGTAAATCCTCATATTGAAGTACTCATTGATATTATAACATCAACTTGTCTTTTGATAGAGTTTTGTTCTGTTAGCTGAATGTTTTGATCGTGGAGCTTCCATCGTTCTTCTGAACGACATCATCAGCACAAATTTCAGATAGAACACTTCATTTCTATTCGAAGTTTGTGCTGATGATCTCGTTCAGAGGAACGATGAAAGCTTCAGAACCAAACCTTTCAGCTCAGAGAACCAAACTCCATCAAAATCATCCACCTGAGTTACAAATTTTCTCCATAAACGTTTATAATACACGCTACACTAACTAGGTTTTTGTAATTTAGAAGGTAATCGAAATCTATGAAATGACATTTGTTTATAGACTTTTGAACTCTTGTTATAATTCATGTTGTAGAATGTTTTTTTACATAAGAAGGATTATATTTACAATATTTTATTCAGCTTATTAAATTTATTTACACCCTTGCCTATACTGTACTAATGTATATTCAAAGTAACTTCCAACTAAACTCTTTCATATAAGCAGTTTCAACCTATTTTATAATTATGATTTTTAAATATCATAGGTTGTAAAGCATCTGCCAAGAACCAAACGAAATAAAATGAATTCATATTATTCTGCTAGAACCTTTGCTCTTGATCTCTTCAAAATGATAATACAGAACTATGCATATGAAATATTCTCAACAGATTTCTGCGACATTATACTTTATAGACGAATCAATCAGATTTCAGAGAGCAGGTCTTGGATTTTGGCACAAAATCCATTCATTAATTTGGCCAAATAACACTTTGACATTATAAATGATATCACTTCGTGATGGAAACACTAAATAGAATTCCTAGCCCCAACATCCAACTTTATATTGTAATCTCGATTTTTCACACTAATTTAAAACTCTGATTTAACCCTAATAAGTAGATGGCCATTCCCAAGGTCATGTTAGTGTTTCTTAAATGTCATTCATAATACATAGTCTCACTCGAATTTCAAGAAAAAATTTCAAAGAAACATTTCTTTACTTTTTATTCATCTTTTGAATAATTAGGAGACAAGTTCACTCTCAAAACATTCATTTTATTAGTGACTTTCATAAGTAAATGTTAATAGATAATTGAAGTTAAACTAATAAACACTGTTTTCATTCAAATATCACGAAATTGTACATTATCACTTTTCAACTGATTTACTTTGTAACAGTTAAATTCATGAGTTGGTGTAAGCTAGACCACCACTGAAAACCTGGAAGTACTGGATGGTTGTTTCGTCTTAAAAGGGGACTCCACACCAATACTCATCCATGACCCCGAACTCGGGACTTCAGACAATATAAATACTTGAAATATCGTTATTCATATATGAGGCCTATTAAATGTATGAATTATTTGAAATCTTACTGTTTAAAAAAATATAAATACAAATTAGGTCGATGAATTTTACTGAGATTGTTCCAATGAGCTGATTCAAGGCTAAAATAATTACTTAACAAATATTAATGGAAAAAAACTTCTTATTCATGACTTCCTAAAATGGCTTTAAAACAAGGTTTGCATTTGTGATTCTGAATGATCCGTTTTTTTATTTGGTTACATTATTGTTTATTCATGCTAATTCATTAATGCTCTTACATTACCGAGATAATTAATAAAAATCGGAAAGAACTAAACTTAAGCTTTGTCCTGATCAGGAACTATTATTAGTGAGAACTTACAACTCAGGATCATTAAGTTTTTAACAAAAGGTTACTTTTAAACCAAAGTTTTATCAAATGACTATATTTCTAACTCGAATTGGTTTATCATAATATGTATTGTTTCATTCTTGTAATCGTTAAACTTCACTGATTGTGGTTTCTCATGAGAATGTCGAAGTCCGCATTGAAGTTAGTTAATTAGTGAATGAAGAGTTATTTTGTTGAGATGGTTCAATTTAAGCAGTGAAAGCCAAGATTTCGTTTCTACGTGGAGTAACAGGTGTATACTGTGTACATTTCACAAACTAAGAAAAAATGTTTGTCCAGGAAAACAGTTTGTTTATCCAATATTCGTTTATGTTAATTCCATAATTTGTTATAACTGAAAACAAAGTGATATAGGCATTTCAAGAGTTGCGTGGGTGATTGCCACTTCTTGTCTGCCCAAACGGTGTAATGAACCTTTTTGAGATATCTGAAAAGGAAACTGGATTAGTAATGGTCTTGGCGACCAAAACGTTTGACTATAAAGATCAAAAGACAACTGTTGGTGGTCGACCACACATAAACTCTTTAATAATAGTTATTTAGGTATTAGCTCCGTACTTAAATGTTCTAATCTCTGGTGACAGAAATCCATTTGTGAATTGAAGTATGGTATTTTCAAGATTAACCTTGCAAAGTCCATCCTAATTTGCGGGGATACGTTACACTATAGATATTACCAGTCTAAGGAAAACACCTTACTTCTGTCACACACCAATACGGGAGGTAGTGCAACTTCATCCTCGGACCATAATTTTACTGCTTTTAGTCAATCTACTTGATATGTTAGAATCTAAAAATCAAGTGTTTCAGATAATATAACTCCATTGGGTCATCATGATGAATAAGCTCGACCACTGAGTAAAGGTAGAAGCCGTGTTATAGATTATGTTTGGGCAACGTGTAACATTTCGAATTTCTTAAGATGATATCATTTCATTTCAGTGAAATAAAGAACTAATCAAACAAGATTGACGTGGTTTTTTATCAACCTATCAACTTCCTCAGTTAAACAACACTGAACATACCTTGAATCATATGTCTGACAATTAATATCGAATTTATATGTTGGCGGGAAAGTAATTTTATGTTCTCGAAAACCTTGAAATATCTTTCTACTGTTCATTTCTTTTGATAACTTTGAAAAAAACAAGATAAAATCATTGGCCGAATGAATCAATAAATAAAAGGAAAAAAAAGTATGTTACATTGAATTAGCTAATAATTTTATTTCTAATAGTTGAGTCAATTGAAGCTAGACCACCATGGAAAACCTAAAAGCACTGGATAACGTTTCGTCCTGTTGTGAGACTCATCAGCTGTGCACATCCACGACCCGGCCTCGTGAGCTTCAAACCCAAGACATATCGGTCTTGCGTGCGAGCACATAAACTCTGGACCAATGACCCGGCATACAACAATAATAATGTGGATTAGTTGAAGACCGAGACGTTCTGGGTTCGAATCTCGCGAGGCGGGATCGTGGATGCGCATTGCTGAGGAGTCTCACAACGGGACGAAATGGCCATCCAGTGCTTCCAGGTTTTCCATGGTGGTTTAACTTCAGTCGACTCATAAATTCAACTATTAAAATTACTATAATATCCACAAAACCCCTTCCGATATTAGTTTTATACCTATTTGTGATAAAATAATGTCAATGATGAAAGAAAAATAAACTGATAATACGACTAGGTAAACTAGAACAAGTAAAAGCCGTGTGAAAATTACAGGTAAAAAATAGGTTTCTCCTACCTTATGAAGTCTATTGACAAAAAAACTTCGACTGTGATGGAATATCTTGGAGATATTCCCTAATGCTTTGTATATCATTTTTCCTGATACACCCGATGGCATATAAATTTCAAAAGAAAATAAGATTCGTCGAATTCATTTTATGATTGTACACAGCAGATCAAAAAGCCACAAATACACAACACGAAGACAAACAGAAATATGATTACGAATGAATACAAGAGAATACGAATAAGCGAATTAAGTTGAATGAATTAAAAAAAGCATATATGTATGGAAAAGTGAATGTGCCATTAAGCGATTTTACCTAGTTAGAGGTATATACTTGTAAACTGTAACATGTGATCAAGCATATATGATCATACAAATGTGATGATGATAATAATAGTAATAATACAAAGAGATAGACACATTGTTACTATTCGGATGACACAATGTCTGCTGTTTAATAAGTTAATTGAAGGGTTTAATAAAATTAGAAGTAGACAAACTTAGGTGTAGTGCAGGTATTATAAGATAATGATTTAATCATTCTGTAAATTATTTATTGCTTGTCAATATAAAATTATCATTACTGACCAATAATTGTATAATAATACCAAAATACAGAGAATTAATTTCTTGTATAAATTAATCAATATAATAACACATCATGTGGTAGAACATGTTAACCCTAAAGATTTCCGAAGACGCTACGGTGAAGAAAACTTACTCTGACTTAATACAAATCAATCAAAATATCTTGAACTAAGCTCTTGAATGTAATAACATTATCTGACTACTCTGGAATTGATAATTGACTCTTGAAATGTTTACTGTTTTTCAACCTCTTATGAATATATCGAGGAGCATCTAAGTTATTATCATTTTTATTTAAATGTAAAATTTCATTTCAACACTGGTTCACGTGAATGTCTAATCTCATTATATCAAAGCAGTCGAGAAGACCTGTTACTTTTCTTATCTTCATAACACTATCAACTCTTTTGGGTTGGTAACTGACAAAATCTTTGTAAGAATATAAAATGTTTTGTTGCTCATATCAAATGAGATTAGCGAACAGGAAGTTTACTGAATAACAGTTCATTCTGTAATGCGTTCTGACCGTGAAACATATATTTTATGTGTAGGATGTGCGTGTAGGTTACTAATATGAGCCATATATATCTTAGTAGCATTACTTATGTATAGTAGAACCAATTGAGAATATTACTAACGTTTTACTTCGAGTAGTAGGTGAGAATTATAAATTGACTTATGGAATCGTCAATCTTTGGTTATTCTTCCCATGTACTTGCTGGCTACTATTCGTTTAGATTGAAAAGAGCTAGAAGCGGTCAGATTAAGGACTGGGATCAACGCATAAAATCATTAACTATTCATGTAAGCCATAATGGAAGGAATAGATTTTTCCGTCTAGGATCAAGAATGTTCTTCTGGCATAAATATGCCTCTCGTTGAATGCTGGAGAAAAAATACTTATATTATTAAAATTAAGCTCACGGAAAATCGATTACAATAAATACGGTATTAACTCGTAAATTAGATAGGTCTAACAGATCAAAGTACTTTTTTATCGTCTAAATACTAAATACGGATTGAAATGAAAACCTACCTCGTCATTCTTAAGTAGACTGACGTAATTGTTTTGCCGAATTAATCTCCTGACATTATCTGAATCCAAACTGGTTATTCGATAATTCAAATCTCCAAATACAAAATTACACTACATCGAAGAAAATATCAGTTTAATGGAAGAATTCACTGTCATTTATTTTCTTATATATATATCACAAGAGATTAGTTTTCATATTATGGTAATCTGAAATAAAGAACTCAAATTTCTTTCACCTAATCAACATGGTACTGTGTCTAAGCACATCCGTAGTAATCCTTTGAAGGAAATACTTGAAACGTTTTGAGTAGTTGTAGCTCCTATTGACTGTATACCAAATGATATTAGTCTTTACATAGTAATATCATAGCAGCATTAGCCAATCTGAGTCATACCTATCAAATAATTGTTTCGTTTGTGAAAATGACGCAAAATTCTTTGGTATAAGTCAATCTTTCTTTTCACCTGTTAAATCTAGCTTTTCTTAGTTAAATCTTACCGACTAAACTTAGAATTTCATCACTTGCCTCCATGGTAATGATCAAATTTTATAACTAAATCTTAGAGACAATTCTAAAGAGATCAGAATTTGTTCATATAATTTAAGGTAAAATAAGACATCAAATGGGACAATATTATAGAATGAATAATATAGAGATTAAAAAAGGTGAAGTATACAGCTTATGATTTTTATTGTGCAATGAATGTATGAATAATTCAGAGTAGAACATATATGCATATTATTTAAAATATTCAGTCTAAAATCTGATATTAATTATACTAAACACATTTATCAAACAAATAGTTTCATTAAGCTATACTGGAACTTACTCATGGATTGAAAAATAAGATTTTTTCGTAGGAAATGGAAAACGCTTTGGATTTATGGGGAATAATAATGACATTTTACGTACAATTTCTTTGAAATCTTGATAACGACGATCAATTTTTTCTTTGCCAGCAGCCAAATGACAATTTACAAAACATAATGAAGTATTAAATATAGTTAGTCTAAGACATACACCACCTTTATTACCCTGAAGCAAAGCAAATGAAAGACAAACATTTATGTACACATCGTAATAAATCCACCATGAATTTACATTTATAAAACTGTGATGAACGGGAAAAAAGGTGGAGACAACCAACTTATTGTATTCAACAAAACTACACAATATCTTGGTATAATATGAGAACCGTACATTGAAAAAGTCATTTGCAAATTTCCGTCATTTGTCCCCCACATTTTGTATGATTCTTCCAATTTACAATTTCTTTTAATTCCCTTTCTATTCACTTTAACTCGATCTTCTTATTCTTCTGCTGCCAGGTTTTCCAATTCCGATCGGTGTTACATACTACTTATGTTTGTCGACATACATCACAAAACCAGTATTTTGTATAAATGTTTCAATTAAGTAGGAAAGGATGCTGAAGGTGGATGGGACATAGGTTGCGTAAATCACCAAACCGCATCATGAGGCAGGGCTTAACTTGAAATGTTGTATGGAAAAGGAAAAGAGGCAGACCAAAAGACACAGTACCGGGAGTTGGAAGAATGAATAATACCCACTAAAAACTGAGAAGAAGAGCCCTGAACAGAACTGTTTGGAGATCGCTGGTCATTGGCTAATGCGTAAGTAATTTTAGAATAAAGCACTTTACAATTGAAATAATTCTATTTATTTCTACATAATGTGGTAACGATTGATATTCAAGTTATTATCATTAATATACTGTAACGCAACGTTTGATGAAAACTAAAAATTTATCACTCAAACATCAACGGACACATGAAATATTTGGTTTTAATTACTCATTGGAAATGTATAATCAAAAAAGTGTTGACAATAATAAATAATACTCTGACAGGTTAAGCTAAATAACGTAATACAAATGTCCCGAAGTGTACATCAACTCTGGGATGCAGTTATATTCAGCTGACGAGTCACAAAAAGGACGAAACACCCGTCCTGTATTCTTCTGCTAGCCACCATCTATCTTCGTTTGTAATGCATGTAAAATTGAGGTAATATCGAGGTAATCTGCACACGATGTACATATTTCAATAAGAGACTGATCAATTGAAGTCCTAAACATTAATTATAAAATTCACACAAACAATATAAAATGATGCGCACTGCTGAGGAGTCCCATACCAGGACGAAACGGCCGTCCAGTGCTTTCAGGTTTTCTATGGTGGTCTAGCTTCAATTGACTCATGATTTCAACCAGTGAAATATGAAATGAATTTATTTTCAATTTTGTCTATACTATCAAGATTAATTTCTAAAAGCAATGTTTATCAAATACTTCTTGAATACCATAAAATTTATACAACTTACCATTACATTTAAAACACCAGTTGGAACAATATGTTGAGAGATTTCATCATGACGTAAATGAATGGATAATTTGGCTGAGATATACACAATCATCATGATACCAGCTAGGCGAACACGTCTAATGCGTATATAGCCTCCGCCGGTGTACTGAAACCAATGAGCTGCAAAACTTTTAGTTGATTCAGTTTCATTTTGACAAACTACATTACACTTAGAACTAGGTGGTTTCAATAAACCACCTAACGCTTCTTCTATTTGTTGAATCCATAAATCCTCTGGTCCTGATGAACTAGTCTTATTGAGAGTAATTACTTTAAGTCTTAAATCCAATTCTTGTAATCTGATCAAAGATAAATGTAAATGAACATAGATTTCAATGTACTCAATAAATAAAAGAAATAAGAACAATTTAAGTCCTTTGTAAATAAGAACAATTGTGCTTTCTACATAAGCTGAACAAATAACTTACCCAAGAACATACATATCAGCTGGTGGTTGACCTTCAGGAGGTATAAGCCAGTCATCTAAATTTAAATTACTACCATTACGACCATTCACATTCCATGTTCCAATAAATATACTAATCTTTCTGTTTTTAGGATAATTAATAATTGAATTCGATAGAATATTATTCTTTGGTTTAGTATATCTACTGGGAAAAATAGTACCAATATGATGATAGATAGTTAAACTTAGTTATCTGAATAGTTGATGTTGATAAATTATAAACCTTAAAATACAAAACCATGTACTTCCCATGAAAAATTAAAAATTCTGATGATTAACGTTAATACAGCTTGAAATGGTATAACTTTTTCAATCCAAAGGGATATTTTGGCTAGTAACGTTATAATTTAATGTCGTTCAAGAAGATTGTTGTTAAAATTTGAAATTTTGATGAGCGACACAGGAGAATATTTGATTGATGTATATGACAGTTTATTTCTAGCTTTGATCATGTTCATAACTATCAATTGAGGTTATCCAAACAACACAATCCATACTGTAGTTAAATGCTAGAAGAAATCAGAATAATCCTAAATAAGCATAAGATGGATGTGTTAGGTCGCTGGAGGTTGTCAAGAGGAGACTCAACTTAGGTTTCATCCTATTCGGCCAGCATTAACAAAGTATGCCTGTAAACATGAAAATTGTTCTTCCCTAGGGGTTTCGAACTCACGTCACCCACCTAGCTCCCACATTTATGACATCACAACCTTCTGTTCGACTGAAATTTTTCAAATTAATTGGTCACTGATTAGTGGCTAATGTTGAATTTGTCTAGTCCTTCAGTGTTGATGGAACTCCATTAAGTTAGCTGAATTGTGACCACTAGTCTCAATAACTTGAAATAGGTTCTTTTGCTATAAAAAAAACGACAATCAAATATTTTATCAGCTCATTGACGATTATTATTGTTGCCAAATCGCTAAATAAAATTTCCTTTAGTGTTTTGTGAACATCATGTGAATGAATTATGAAATTTTCACTTACCACTTATTCCATGAATCATTTGTGAAACTCAGATCGGAAAAACTATGTGGTGAAGTCAAACCCTAAAAATAAACAAAGTAACAGTAAAAGAATATAGTTTTAAAAATAATCTAATAATGGTTTTATTCAGTATAATTCATGATAAATAATCGTTGAGACAGTTTTATGGGATAACTAAGCTATACAGTCGTATTTATAGACCATTTTATTTTAACATTGAATAGTTCATAGTAAAATAGACGAATGCTCTATAATTATCAAAGATAATCAAACTTATTCAACTATCGGATGTAAAACTCTGTGAAAATAAAGTAATGTTGTGTAATTTAATGAATTAGTCAAATTGTTTCGAAAGATCCAAATATTGAATATAATAAATTTATAGATTGAAGGGTGTAATTTCGAAGAAATTAAATTACTATAGACTACTCATTGTAAAATATAGTCTATAAATACTGTTACTAAGCTTCAGAAAATGATACTGTCGAGAAGATCATTTTTCTCTCTGAAATCTTTTCAATCTTTTTTGAATTATATAGTAACGAGATACCAAAAGTGATAAGCAGTTGAGTTTTCTCCTTGGTTCATCAGTCCTGTCAGTCTCTTGTTGAAACTTTTCAACTGTACAATTAGTTCTGATAGCAATTATATGATGAATTCAGATAGATATATCGGTGAGACTATAATTTATGGGCGACATTTGAACGAACCTTATGTGACCTTCAGAGACTTCAGTCAATCAGAAAACATTCCGTATAGAGTAAGAATATATTATACAAAACGAAAAAAAATTATTGGATAAACTTTTTAATATAGTCCAAAAACGTTTCCAGGTTAGAAAAAGGTTCAGCAGTTCAGAAATGGTAATACATACGGTACAGGAACTCATTCATGTGACTCCACAACCTCTGAAGTTGTAATAAGGTCGCAAAATTCTTTTAACCTCAACCACACTGCTTCTATACCGCTAGTGGGCTCTACAGAATGTCGCTTGTGAACAACTTAATGCAAATAATCAATTCTAGATAGACATCTATACGCCCTCCAGTTGTCCGTGTATGTTGTGGTACCTGGCTTCACATACTCCTCAGTAATTAATATCAGCGTTCCGACCTGTCGGTTTTCACGTGCTGGAAATATCCCCTTTGCTATGATCATTCATATATATTAAATACCAGTGAAGTATCTTTAAGGAACTTCTACCTACCCAGTCTGCTCAAACACTTTTTGTCTTGCGAATTGGCGTTTTTAAACGACTGTTTCATCGATTTCTACGATTTTCCTCATTCCTCCAAACGATTGTTTTAAAACCCATCATCTTTATTGTGCATATATCTCTACAATGCTCATACTAATGAACTACTGAAGCTTCAGTAACATCTGGAAAGATTTCAGCGAATGCTACCGATTCTCTTATTATCTAGTTTACAACAATTAGCATAACCTGTCTTAGTGTCAGTCGGGATCGAGTGAAAAAAGTCCCGCTGTAGCAAACTTCTTCCTCCAATATGTATTGCACCGTAATACAATGTCGTCGGGATATTCTGTATACTGTCCATCAGTCATTGGAAAAAAGAAATCACAAATAATGTGACTTATCAATAATTTCATCTGTTGTGGCCGCTCAAATATAACGTCCTTATTGAAACCCACTAAAAGCCGATAGTACGTGCGTATTGGGTACTGAAATAGGCACCATGATAATGAAACCATTTACTCCGTTTTGATTGGCTCGTCCATAAATTATAATCTCGTCTAAATATCACTGTAATATTCACGTAGTTAAGTAATGACACTATTCGCAACAATTATCAAATACGGACAGTCTGTCAACTGGTTATTAAAAAAAGACCACATGGCGTAAACGGCGAAGCATATGCGTTCAGAGATTTTTTATTGACACACTTTTTTCTTTTTCTTTTTTACCTAAAGGTCTAATTTACGCACATCCAGTAATTTTAATATCTTTTTCAATTTGTATATTACCCATATGAAATGATGAAAATTTTACCTAACTTCATAGTTATAGGCAAAGATGGATGGTGGCCAGTAGGGGAATACAGGACGCGTGTTTCGTCCCATTTAGGACTTGTCAGCTGTATTTGCCCGCATCCCAAAGTTGATGTTCACTCCAGCACTCCTCCAGGGCTCAAATCCATTACCGTTCGCTTCAAGCGCCATCGCGTTATCCACTTAGCTTCTGAGTCCAAATAGCCACTAGTTTGCATAATGGGGTAAGTTTTGAATTTATTTTGTATTGTTTGTATGAATCTTCCCATTGGTGTTTAGGACTGCAATTGATTAGTCTTTTATTGGCATATATGCATCGTAAGTGTATTGCCTTGTTATTGCCTTGAGTTCACAGCTAGCCACTATCCATTTTTACCTATAATGTTTGTGAATTAAGGCAATATTGTGGCAATCCACACACGATGCACATATCCCAATAAGGGATTGATCAATTGCAGTTCTAAACATCAATGATAAACATCAGTGGTAATGATACCTACAAGTATTGTAGATAATAAAATGCATTCAATTATTTTTTTTATTAATATAAAATATCTTTAACTATAATTATCATCTCAAAAAAAGGATATGTACCACAGAAATTAAATAACAAACTTAAACCAGTCAAAAACTATTGGATATTTGTTTCGTACTAGACATGTATGATTTATTTATTTAACTGTTATTCAAACACTTCTAGGTATTAAAGCAATTCTTTGCTCAACAATCAAGCCATTATCATTAAAAGTATTAGTTCATTGTGGTTTGATGACAATAACAGTTAGTAAAACGTATAAAAGTTACATGAAAATCGTAAAGACTTACAAAACTATCTATTTTTCCAAATTTCCTAAGTTCCAATAAAGTAATGGCTATGTATGGAGAATTTGTAAGTTAGTCAAATTCTTAGTAGATTTTCGGTTTATAAATAGATAATTTGCTAGTCAGTAATCAAATAGTAGTTTGACTGGGTTAAAACTTCTATAATTTAATAAAAGATCATTTTCCCTGTTACGTCAACAATGAAATCATGATTCAACTCATATCGTAAAGATTATGTTCACCCATCTAGTTAATTTACAAATTGGATATGTATTTTATTTACCTCACGTATCATGTACAGATTCTTGCACCGTGCTCCGAGCCCCATTCTAAACATGAGGGTTAGTGATACTACTCATTTACCCAAGCTAAAATAGGTTGGGCCAGTTTCAAACTTGAGAATTAGTGTCTTAAAATTAAACACCTTAACCATTTATCCACCTCTCAGCCATAGATCATATTTTCAAATGAGTCATTCACACACCAAATATAAGAGTTAATCTAAAATACAACCTGACAGAAATTCATTAAAGAAAACAATATAAATATGTTAATCTTACTGTTTCTGCTAAACTGTCTGAGGAGTAATTCAAATTGTTTTGTGATACAGCTAATGAATTCTTTTTCATCGGTTTTGGAGGCTTTGACTCCAGTTTTTTTATTGACGGCGGGGATACAGAAGATTGACAACGACGTATTTTAACTATTCGTTTAGACACTTTTCTCTTTACTTTAGTATATTTGCTTTGAGCAGATAATTTAGAATTGTCTAAACTTGGACAACTATTTGTTTTAACACATGTAGATACAGGTTTCAAATAATCATATCTATTTTCATTGATACTACTTGAATCAGAAACAAGTAAACTGCTAGAATCCTGTAAGTTTGGAGCCAATTCGAATGAATCTTTGTCTCTGGTTTGTTCATAGATAAAGCAGTGGATAATTGGAAAACAATTATATACGTATATATAAAATTAGTATAAGGGATTTGTGAAGATTGTTAGGTATCACAGTTTACATTGTGGACTAACCTTAGTTAGACAACTATTGAAAACTGGGAATTATTTAAGAAGTGATGTTGTTTTCTGGTATGAGATTCTTCAATAATGAGTATCCACGAAGCCACTGGGGCTATAATCCAGGACCTTCAGGTTACACGGCAAGTCCCTGAATGGAAGACCAATGAATCGGAATCCATTAATTCAGTCATTTGGAGAAATGGCACAACTATCTTCCATAACATACATGTCTATCAAAATCTCTCGCAGCGGCTCAGGTGCATATATGCCTTGTATTCTCTTAGATTCATATTAAGCAATCTAGAAAGCTGTGATATGAACTCCAAATATTTGACTGTTGTCGATCTCAGTGTACAGTGATAAAAGAGAATATAGAAAGTAGGTAGAAGAGCTTTTCTGAAATACAAGTATTGAGTATAAAAGACTTTGAAGCAAATCGTCTCGTGTCAAACCTGTAAGACACGGTTGCTTCGATCCAGGGAAATCCAACTGCAGACATTAGTTAAGTAATATTGTCAACATAGTCGTCTGTTTCATTTTACACTCATAAACAAAAGTTGATTTAACATTCGGGTCAGTTTTCATCAGAGGCAACTGAAATAATATAAGCTTAAAATCGACCACTTTTACGTGGCTCATTTCAACTGCTCTAATGTATTTCAAAATGCAGTAATCAGTAACAAAATTAAATTATTGGCAGAGCGCTAAACAATATTGAACTTTATTAACGGCAACAAAATGATTCGGTAATACAGCAGGTTGAAAACAGTCATTGTGAATTTTTCGACCTAAATATCATAATGCTGAACTCATCTTATATATGCAAAACCAGAAAACTGACTATCGACCGTCTGATGATCAATTTCAAAGTGGAAAATATCAATAAATGCTTACAAAACGTTGAAATCGCTCAGATAAGTACTCATATACGAATACGTGAATTTTATAAATATGTATGAATATGAACGAAAACGTTGATGAAGCAATATTTAGTTTCCTAAGATAATCCTCAAAAACAAAATTGAACTCAGGACAGATGAACCTCTCATTCATTCCAAAATCTTCATCAGTGACTTAAAAACGAAATATTTTGTGCAAATTCTTATATTACGTAACATAAATTATTCATTCACGGTTATTGTCTTCTAACTGTCTAAAAAGAATCAAACTTTTCTCAAGGTCATCCGGGAAGTTACATGAGTTCAAAACTAAATCTTTAATATTTTTTCCTAAGCTTGTAAATCTATGACTGTTATAGTGTATACTACTTATATCTGTTGACATAAGTAGAATGCGGTGCCAATTGGAAGTGTAAAACCTTACAGCAGAAGGTTGAGATGATCAAATAAAAGAGAATGGAATCAGATAATAATAGTTGATGGAAGATTTATAAATGAAGTATTGAATGTATGGTTTTACATTTGATGAAAAAACTTTGTAATTTTGTATAAAAATACAATCGGTTATCCTCCTACTTCTGTTTTCGTTCACAATACTTAATAAAACTGTGTCTGAATTCAAAACTTACATTCCTACATCATTTACCGCCTCCTATAAATAAGAAATTATAACTAACTAAATAAATATCAATCAATTGAATTAAACAAATTTTAAAGATAGAATTTTAGAAGCGTTAGATATTCGACATTTTCATATATATATATATAACTCCGCCTGGAGTCTCTCCGGAGGCTACTGCCGGTTCCAAACCCGGATAAAGGAGTAGAGTCAGGCGTAGGATTAGTGACCCAATCCCGTAGAAAACTAACTCGCTAAAAAATGCTAACCAGAAAAAAATTATATATACAAAAATAGAAGCTTACTAAGAATAATAAATCTTAGTTAATAGTACACTAATGTTTATGATGTAATAAAAGAGTATACTCTTTTATTTAATTTACTTACCGATATTTATTTAACCAATTAAATTGTTGTTGTGAATTATTAGATAATGATATTATATCATCATTTAAATAGAAATGTATTTGATTCTTTGAAATAATTTTTAATTCTGGTACAGATAAACAATTTGATTGTTTTATAGAATATTGAATAAGCAATTCATAAAATTCTAATGTATCATCAATATTGAAAAATTCCAATAATAAACTTGTAAATTGTGATGATCCATAAGAATTATTTATCTGATGAAATAAAATAATATTCAATAATTCATTGAAATAGAACATGTGATATAAATAATTGAAGTAAGGAAAAACAAATACAATTGAAGAACATATAGAACTTAAAATAATTGTCAACCAATATCAAAGTCATAATCTTCAATATGAATGTCAAGACAGTGAGATCTACTGTACGAAGCAAAAACTTGGAGAACTACTACAATCATCATCAAGAAGGTACAAGTATTTATAATTAATTGTCTACGTAAGGTACTTAACATCTATTGGTCGGATACCATTAATAACAGCCTATTGTGGCAGAGAACAAATCGGCTTCCAACTGAAGAGGAACTTAGGACATGATGATGACGGAAATCATCAAACCAAATCACGGAGCAAGCACTAATTGGAAATCCTGAAGGGAAGCGGAAAAGAAGAAGACCTAGGAACACGTTTCGTCGGAGACTGGAAGCAGATATGAAAAGGATGAATAGAACTGGAAAGAGCTGGAAAGAATTACTTGGGACAGCGTTGGATGGAGAGTGCTGGCAGAGGACCTATGCTCCTCCACGAGACGTAACAGGTGTAACTAATGCAATTTGATGTAGACAAGGTAAACGCCTCAACTTGTGTTATTAGTATAGGAAAAAGATAAATTAGGCAAGAGGATAATTTATGGATAAACCAATTAGTTTTAGGATAACAGGTATTGAATTTTGGCACGAAATTCATTCATCTATTTTGTTAAATAGCGTTTTCGGATTTTAGTTGGTGTTAGTTAATAATAAAAAACCCAAGTCAAATTCTTAACCCTAACAATCAGCCATAAATCAGAATCCTTATTCTTCACACAGGTTTACAAACCTCATTTAACCATAGTACGTAAATGGACATTCTCAAGGCCACTTTTACATCTCTGAAATGTCGTTCATAAATTATAGAGTCACCATATTACTTTTCAAAATTGAAAATTTCAGCGATTTAGACAAAATTATTCTATCAATTTTTTTCGGATGATAACTGGATTTGTAGTATTTTCAAAGTTCAGTTCACGAGTCGAAACCACCATCCCGTACGTAGGATCGTTGATGTGCACTGTTGAAAAGTCCGATACTAGGACGAAACGGCCATCCTGCACTTCCAGGTTTTCAGTGGTGGTCTAGCCTAGATCGACTCGTGAATTCAACTTTAAAAATAAATAAATAACCAAATTCAATTATTATAAATTTATATACTTGAGTGGAATAACTCAAACTTGTTAGTACAATTAAAACAAGTTTGATAGTACTAATGTTTTATTATTCAGGTCAAGCGTAAGACAATAAGTGTGTTTGTTCGTGTATTTATTAGTGAGTGTGAAAGAATGTGATATTTGGGATTAGAAGTAGAGCCAATTTGTTCGTTTGTTACTGATGTGGTATTTATATAGAATAAATATGGTTTTTCATATTAATTTGATGGATTTAAAAAATAGCATGTAATGTTGATGACGAAATAGGTTGTGGATCCTTGAATTTCATTAAGTCTTTTTGTGTAGCTTTGATATTGCCTGGGAAGAGTAAAGATTACACTAGAAGACTTTCCTTAGATAGAACGCATCATATTTGACACAAGTTAACCTGTAAACACAATTCTCTATAAAAGTAATGGAATCTTTTCTTTTTATTGACTTAAAGCATTTTGAAGAATGATGACAGTTTTATAGGATCAGTAAATTGTGAAAGTAATTCGACAATAGATCATATATTTTTACTAGAATAAAAGATTGATTGTAGGATAAATACCATTCAACTTTCATCTGATACTAATCTAGTTTAATTGGAGTTCAGCTGATATTTCAATATACCATAAAAAAAGATACACTAAGCAATAAATAATTTCAATAGTTGATATGATGAGTCAATTGAAGCTAGACCACCATGGAAAACCTAGAAGCACTGGACGGCCGTAACTGTTAAACTTGATAGACTTATCAATTTACGTTTAAATTATTATGTGTCTATGTAATATCTAACAAAATTTTCAACTATCAATTTATTCTGATGAAATAGATTTTCTTTAGTAAGTGATAGAATTAAAAAGTACTTTTTTATTATAACAAAATAAGAACAGAAAGATATCACAATTCACAAGTTTCTTTCAGCTGACTAAAGTACAAACAGAAATGGAAACAGTTGTTTTTAAATTCTATAAATCTACTCAATAGTATAGGTATTTAAATATTGTACAATTTCGGGTGATATATTGAAACTATGTTGAGAGAAAAATGTTTTTGTTCATACTTTATTTGAGCTAATAACTGAGAAATACACGTTTAATGTATTCATTATATCTTGCATACATGATCTAGATCAAGTTTAACAGAAATAAAATGTTTATAATTCTCGTTTATATATCACATACAGCGTGATGGTAAGACTATTACATAACCTTAAGTTTACAGAATAACAATTCTTAAATATGTGAAAGAGTACATTGATTAAATATACAAACTATATTTTATCCACTAGAAGTAAATTCATTGACTAGTGAAAACGTAAAGGTGTATTGAACTAGATGGCCAACATAACATGTTTTGTATTGTCTCAACTTAGTTAGTAATATTTCATACACAGAATAAATGTTTCTCAAAAAGAATTTTCATATTTCTTGTTTATTACACTTATTAATTGTATCGATACATACCATGATTTCTTCTCATAAACTATCAATAAAATTAATACCGGTTGATTAATCACAATAAATGTTGCATGAAATCTGGTATGTAGACACAAACGATTTTGTAATTTCAAAGAAAAATCAATAAATTATTATTTCCTATATACATCTATACAGATAATACAAACACTTTGAAACTATCCATCTTTCTTGTTCTGGAAAGTTAACATCACAAATCAGTATAATTTAAAAATCTAATCGATATCCAATAACACCCGCTGATAATTGATTCATTCTATTTCCGAATTGTTAAACGATGTTATATACACATATTTTACAACTTCGCTTACTGATCATCCTGAAGCAGATATAAAACGGTGGTATAATCTTTCTCGTGAAAGTAGTACATCTTTATCAATTGAGGTGGTTGTAACATGTGTTGCATATAACCAGTCACCAACTACCTCCATGTGCGATATTGTCTGATGTAGAAGTAGGTTGGAAGAAAGCTAGGGGTGGCTAAACCAAGACATAGCACCAGTCCACGAAATCATTGACAATTACATTGATCCATGTCAATATGTCTAGACTACCTGATTGAGGTCCGCGTGATTATCAGAACTAGTAGTTAAAGACTTTGAATGATGTAGCTCAAAATTGTTTGCAAAGGCAAATATGCCTCCATTCTCTGTCTTTCTATAAATCTTAAGCTTCTACATTCATCGTAATTTCCTTTTATTTCATCTCACTAATTCATAATTTCTCGTATCGTATCTCCAATACCATTATTACTGTTACTAACTTTACTACTCTAGGACTTACCCTAACTGATGTGTGGGCGAGAATGATAATGATTGGTAGTCTGACAGGTGTCAGATGAGTTATATATTCCTCTACCCTTATTATTATTACTACTCACTTATTAGTGATTGTTCATTGTTGTTGGATTGTGTCGGGTTTTGGTGTGGAAATATATTTGCGTTGTAGTCAGGCTAATCACATATTCTTGATCTGAGTTGTGTTGAATTCCTGTAGAATAGAAACTGGTTGGGAATCTAGTATAGATATTCGTCTAAGGTAAATTGACGTCCTATACGTGCAAACGTGGAAACCCTATCGTTATAACATTAGTCGAAGTAAAAACCGAGCGTTATAACACTAACAGTTTCGGTTGTGTGTTTTTTGATAAAACGATTTAAATTATTCTTTTGAAAATAAAGTTCACCTAACTGATAATAAATTGCCGAAAGATATTGTACAGGTTTTTTTCTAAAAAAAGGTTTTTCATTATAAAAAAACTTACACGACATTGTGATTTCCCATTGTTTACTTTCATTTGATTATCATTAAAATGTTTTGATGAATCTATATGACCAATGAAAATAGATTCTTTATCATAATTTATATTATTATGATTATGATTATTCTTTAATGATACATTATGTTGACTTTTATTTATAGATTCGAACTTTCATGTATTAATAAATTATTTTGATGATTATGATTGAATAACCATCGTCTGCCAGTTACATAAATATGATCAGGTTCATCTAATCAAGTATAAAAACAAACAAACAAACAATTAAATGCGATGAATGAATATTGTATTTACTGATAAGATAAAATATTACATCTATTAAAATGAATATTGAATGAATTAAAATGTATCATAAAACACTTAATTATAATAAGGAGTAGAATAGGATTAAAATGCAAGAGATCAGTTTCATCTTATATAGAATTTTATAGCTTTGTCAACTTATATCCCACTGTTGATGTTCACATTGAGAGGTAAATATAGAAACTTACACTTCCGGTCACAACGCATTAATCACTGAGCTATTGAGTTCAAAAAGTCAGCAATTTGTTCAACAGGTATGTTATTTATAGAGTTATTACAAAGGGTATAATGACCACGTTATTAATTGAGATTTCCAAATAGGATAAAATACGCTTACTGGATTACATTGTTAGCCATAATTCGTCTCTCATAAAAAGCTCGTAATAAAATTCCCATAACCGGTGGAATCCTGATTGGATATGCATATTCTAAAAAGAAGTGATCAAATTTCTGTCCGAATTCATAACATAACAAAGTGACCTGATTTAAATAGCCATTAGAAGCAGAGAAGCATTAAATGGTTATTTCTTCCTAATATATCAGTCTTCAACTGCGACCGTTGACAACCCCATAGAAGATAGAGCCCACGATCTTAAGCCCCCGGTAAGATTGTAGATGGGCACTATTGAAGACTCCCATAATAAAATAGCTGTTTACTTCTTGCTGACTTTTCAACGGCTGTTTAATCATATACAGTTTATAATGCTAACTATAAAATCCAAAAGTTTTCACAAACCTACTGTATAATAATGGTATAATTCAGACACTTATTATTGATAACAAGAGCAAAAATAACTGATTTCAGATTATCTAGCGCTTTATAGACCTGATAATAACTAATTAGGTTTTCTATTCTTTTCAATCTTGATTTCTTCCTACAGAATTATTGTTTTATTAATCTATTTGATCGTAATTCTACTTTTTTAAAAAGAACTTAACTAGATAGCATAGGCAACTTGTAGAATTAATTTGACGTTCAACTATCTTAAATATTTCCCCCCCTCAAAAAAAGCCTAGAAACTATAACCATACCAGTTACTAATCATAAATATCTAATCAGTTCATAAACTTTCATATTAAGCTTTTCTTTTATGACTGATATTATGAAAGCTATTTTTTTTAAAGAAAGATCTACAATACTAATATATTTTGTTCATTTAACTAAACACAATTAAGTATTATAAAATATACAAATAATTATTGATTGTCAATTCTTGAATAATATCCAAGTGGTGTATAAGTTTCCTTCTTCATTTTTATTCACAATTAAATATTAAATCAATGATTAAGTACAAATTGCTGTGTTTTCAATGTAACTAAAAAGGAATAATGGAATCGATTGGTAAAACGACTAAGTTCCATCTTTATAAAATTAATTAATTTAATTAATGAAACCAAATTTTTAAAGCATACCACATTAACAAAAGCATTTAAGTAACTTTATAATATCTATCATATTAAATTACATATTATTCTGAATATTTCAATAAACAAAATATTAGAACTAAATAATGATTAAGAAGATTTGTAACTTAGATAGATGTTTTTACAAATGTTAAATTTTCTTAGGTAGAACGATTTAAATACTGACTTTTTTATTGTCACTTTAAACAACATTCTCAGATCAGCTTGACAATAAAAGTTCAACAATTAAACCATCTAGTTCAGTGCGCTGACCAACATCAAGAACTTAATAATCTTATAACATGATATTTTGTGAATATAGAGAACAAGAACGAAGATCGGTGCAGAATAATATGAATTCATTTTATTTCGTTAGGTTATCATCAGTTGCTTACAACCTATAATATTTCAAAATCAACGACATTACAGATACTGACATACTTATACATACGTGGGTGATTAAGGATGAATATGTGTATCATGACGTAGTGATGATTCCGATAGAGTTAATGAGGTTATAGAAAATTTGTTTCGGACCAATAAAGTTTGGAAGGGAAAAACGTCTAAAACCAGATCTGTTTACAAAAGAAAGAGACAGTAATAAATATTTCTTTGCTCTGTTAACATTAAACCCACCTTTTTATTTATTACATCATTCATTCCTTCAACTCTTTCAGAAACTTAAATTACGTCACTGTCATTTCCTTTAATTCATAACTGACTGATTTCAATTCAAATCTTTCTTTGTTGCCATTATTTTATTTTTAGTTGCTTCATCATACAATCATTTATTGGTTGTTAACTCCATGAATTCTAATCATTATTTCAAAGATTAAGAAGTTTCCCTTCCAAACTTTATTGGTCCGAAACAAATTTTCTATAACCTCATTAACTCTATTGGAATCATCACTACGTCATGATACACATATTCATCCTTAATCACCCTCGTATGTATAAGTATATCAATATCTGCAATATCATTGATTTTCAAATATTATAGGTTGTAAGGAGCTGATGATAACCTAACGAAATAAAATGAATTCATATTATTCTGCACCGATCTTCGTTCTTGCTCTTTTTAATATAATAAAGGGAACTATGTGCATGAAACTTTGTGATTAGTTAATACAAAGGAGAAATCAGATAAACTGACATAGTCTTAGTCATTTACAATATTGTAAATGTAAGCTTACAGGTTTTAAATAAGGACTATTTAATTTTCAGTTAAGGGTTGTGAACAGTGTTAAATTTGATTGAAATCACGAACCGATCGATGTTAAACTATCATTGAAAACTTGAAAGGACTGGACGGCCGTTTCGTTCCAATATGATTCAAACCCAGGACCTTCGGTCTCGCGCGCGAATGCTAAACATCTAGACCAGTGAGCCAACATCCGACGGTTTTAATGCCCAACTTCAACAGATGCTTCCAAGTTTTCGATGGTACTCTAACATTGGTTGGTTCATAATTTTGATAATACTATTTAATTATTTATTCAATCCCGAAAATCTTTCAATAATATATGTACAACTAGATTAAATCCACCTTTCTGTTAAATCTTTAATATTCTACTTGTTGTTGATTCATTGTTAGAAACGTTTTCAATGTTAATCCATATACTACCTATTGGAATTTTACTCTTTGCTATTTCATGAAATAAACGTATTATAATTCAAAATGTTAATTACTTTAAGGTAAAATGTCATATGGTACCGGTATTTCTCAAATTCTGATCAACAGTCAAAGAGATTTCCACAGTTTAAAGTGGATAATAGAGTTCAAAATTTAAACAGAAATTATTCTCTGATCTGTTTGGGTCTGTTGTAATCCACCACTAAAATTATTCCAAAATTTTAATCAATTTACATTCTATTATAAATGCTTAAAAGCCTACACTCAAATGTTTTGTAGTCTATATAGCACAGTAAACTTGGATAGACAGTCATTAAACACCAGAAAGCACTGTACAGCTGTTTTATCCTAATATTGGATTCAGTAGTGTACATCTCACCAGAAATCGAACCAAACTTTCTCTAAACTACTTGAAAACTAGCAAACACAGAATGTCAAGTTAGTTGACTGTTAGCTAAACGTTATTCATGTCCAGAATCAGAAGTCTAACTCGATTCTTAATTAGTTATTCCGAGATTTTTTAAACATAAGAATGTGACGAATCCTATATTTCTTTATGCAATAATAAAATCAAGTGTTTTTAGTACATCAGGGTACTTCACGATGTACTTAGATCTTTAATTTTAAGAAACTATTCCAGATCTAAAAAAATTATTACTCAAGCAAAGATTTGGCCAGTAAATACATCAAACTTTATTGTCCTCCACAATAAATCTGTCCAATAATATATAATCTATCAACGATTCCCTCAATCTCGGTGTGGTGTTACAATATATCAATTGTTTAATATACAAGTGACTGATTTTTTATTACATGAACATAATGTTTATTACAAGTTGACATTAGTTGGCAGATTACTTAGAATTTAAAAGAAACAATATAGATGTTGCATCCTAATTCGGAGATTTTTAATTAGTGCACAGTCATGACGCAATATAGCACGAAACTCTGAAGATTTCATTATATTCATATCTATGTTAAATGTGCTTTTCAAACCCTAGTATTTATTAATACTATTGAAATGATACAATAAGACTTCTTTATTCATTTTAGATAATCCACTTTAAAGGAGATATTTTTCATGGGACGTATGACAACATTAAATCAATCGGGAATTTTTAGATTTTGATAGATAATCTTGCATTCCTAAATTATAAAATGGAGTATAAATAACGTTAGTTGGTATACATATTTATTGTAGCAGCTAGCACTGTTAGATACCTACACGATTTATCTTGATTTCTGGGCAGATGATTTATTCTAATGTTCTCAGTCACTTTGTCATTCTCATGTTTAACCTTCAGTATGTTTGTATTATTATGCGATGTGACGATATTCTAAGATCATTCATGCCTTTGAATATTGAGTTGCATTTTAATTGAGTTGGCGATTTGACCTTCTCCATCTCCCATCTTAGCGTCTTTCTGAGTATGTGAGTATACGAAATGAAGCCGTCCAGCTTAATTCGCATTTGACGTTTTATCACCCTCGTCACTCAAACAAGGTTAGCCTAAGTAGAACGTACGATATATATATATATATATACGTGTATTTATTCAGAAAATTAATCCAGAAATTTTAACCACAGTCAGTTATTCCAGATTGACGCATTAGAACTAGTGATTTAGACTATTTGTTTCAAAAAACTACAAAAAGCAGTTATAATGTTAACGTTAATTAATAATAGCTTAGAAGTAACTTACCTACCTCACAACTGAATTCATCGTTCAACAGAATTATATCACGTAATATCAGACCTGTTTGATTCAAGTCTGAATTTTGTGATCGAATGAATATGAAAATGCTGAAAACAATAAACGTATAATCAATAAAAGGTGCATGTAAGTTGTTACAGAAACTAACAGAAAATTATCTAACACAAAGCAAAGTAAGTTTGTATAAATAAGATCCGTTTCTTTTTCAAAACTACAAATTCCAAACTTCAAAACGTGGGTAACAGTTAACTATTTCGCTCACAGGTCTTTACAACAATAAAACGAATTCTTCGATCAAGCCTAAGTCTGTGTCATTGTCTGCAAGTCATCGAGTCAATAATTGACACTCATTAGCTATTTTATAAAACGGAGTAAATAAAAAAGTGATCTAAGCGGAAGGGATGTTCTTAAAACAAAATTTTTTGACTGGCTGATGTTTACTGACTTACGATAGCAGCTGGCAACGCAATTAAAGTTTCCTGGATGTGATCACGGGGAAATTTGTGGATACGTACCTTGATAACATATTTATTCAGTCTTCTAGACTATGGCATTTTTGAGAATGGTATTATACCATATGTCCTATTATAACTATTTTGAACTCTCGAACTTAGTTGTCTGCAGATAACAGTTATATAAATGGACATATGATCATTCAAATATTCAGATCATGAGTATCAATAAACAACCTGGACGAATTTCAAAACGCAGTGTGAAATCGGCGTTGTTAAAGCCTTAATTACGACCAAAATGAATTTACTTTTCTTTCCTATTGTACTGATTTGTAGTATCCTATAAAATATTGCTTTATATTACCACGATACATAAACCTTTTTGACTTATTAAAACCTATTAAACTTTACACCATTCCACATCAGCTTTGCTTTGCGTTGAACTATTGTGTTGCACGTAGTAGATGTGAAGCTTTAACGATAGGCGAAAAATCACAGTAAGAGGAATATAAAGTAACAATTTAATATAAAGATATAAATGACGTATATGCAAGAAAAAATAACTCTGAAAATCAAGACGATAGAATCAACCATACTTTTAAAAACAATTTATTTCCTAAGTTTTAATTGGCGATTCTGGTTTTTGGAATATGATTATTTCTGTAGAGGAATAATATGTTGGTGAAATACTATAAGGCCAAATTAATCTATCATTTGCGTAGTAAGGCTGAAAACAGTCTCATCAAGATGGATTCCTCTAAGTATCTATGTTTAAAGCATTTAGTCAAAATAAAATAGGATATTACATCAGGTTCATCTTGGTCTGAAATAGAAATTATGAAAAAAAGTAAGCAAAGAGATTCTTTTAAAAGTCACTTTGACAGGGGTTATTGTCTGGACATATTCAGACATACGCGCTTTGTTTAGAAGGTTGATTTTGAATAACGGATGCAATAAAATTCAGATGTCTTCCATACTCGTTAATATAGACAGGGAACGCCTAGAAAGAAAGCAACATAAAAAATAAAATATGGATATTTGTCAAACCAAATGAATAAATCTTACAGTATTGGTCAAGTTTTAATGCCCTTCTTGTTCGCTTATAAATTCTGTCATCCGTTATGCAGATTTTGTAAAAATGTTTACTCGGACGCTATTGAGGATTTGTAGACGATTTATCAGTACGATCAGTGTTCCTGTTGATTTATTAAGCTTCTTTAAACTTAATACCACTGCCAAAAGGAACATTCATGAAATTCAAGTGTTGTAACATGAAGCTTTTCGGTTACCAACTAGATTTCATGCTACCACGATCTCTATAATGACTAAGTCTACAAACCAAAATATCAATTGTTATACTGATAGGGAGGTGGAAGTTTGTACATCTTCTGATAGCTGAAAAGTCTGTGATGGAATTACAGACAAGTAAAAATCGACTACTTTATAAGGTTGTAATATATTTCGAACAGTTTTCGACTATTAATCACAGTCTTCCGAGCACTAGATTTGATTCATTAAAACAACGTTCGTCCCATTTATTACCAACGGTGAATGATAATCATTATCTCCGACTATTCCTTTTTAAAGGCAACTAAGTTTTCGGAGTGAATACTAGAGAAACAATAATGGAGGGATAAACTGTATAAGCAATAAAAATTTCGTTGCTAACTAAACTATCATCAGCATCACTTATTCTGAAGTGACATAAGGTCAATTAAACCGGTCAAAGATACAGAACTCCACTTTTTCAATCAGTTAGCTATAAACTAAATGTGAAGGATTTGTACAATGCTAACTTTTAATGCACACCCCATACATACTTTCATAAACCATTAAACCACAACTCAAACTGATTTAAACTTGTAAAACCATATCTTTAGCATCAAAATTATTCCAATTCTCCTGCAAGTGTTCAACGTAAACACATTGTACGTCGAAACTATGCAGATACGCGTAAATCTCCACGCTAGATATATCAGATATGTAATTAAAATATAAGGGGTGTAAAGTCAAATTTTTGTTATCCGTCTAAGTGGCTGATTAGTGGTTTAATAGATGGCAGGAATATATATATCTACAAACAACCAGTTTCCGAAAGCTAGTTAAGTTGTAGAATGAATATCACTGTTTCACTTAAGTATGAAATTATTATTTCATAATGATCAGAATTGTTAGCAAAAAGTAATCCAATAAGTCTTGATGAATTAGAGACAAAATTCTCTGTAGATTAGGCAAACGGCAACAAGCAACTGTAACTTCAACAAACTTCCGTAAAAAAATGGCTAAAAGAAATCTTTTTAGAATAACTACGATATTCGACATGTCACTTGGTCAACGTGAGTTATCTATGAACTGGGAGAATGTATTTGTCACTTTAATACATAAAACAGGATTAACACAACTCTCATCTAACTACAAACCTGTCGGCTTCATCAGTGTTGTAGACAAAATGATGGAAATAATAATCAAAAGACTATAATGTCATTCGTGGAACCCAACGACTTGTTAAACAGCGAACAACATGGTCTCAGAAAAAGTTATTTTGCACAACAAATTTTCTCGTAGCAAGAAAAAAATAGAATAAAGCTCTGGATAATGGATAAACACTGGATTTTGTCTACATAAACTTCAGAAAAGCATTTGATAAGGTTCCAAAATTAGATCACTCTTGAAGCTGGAAAATCTAGGCATTATCCTACCTCTCCTAATATAGCTTAGGGGTTTCTTGGCAGGTTGTAGAGAGAAAGTAAAAACAAATTTTAAGTGCTTCACTTGAAAACAAGTACGTAGTGGTGAACCACAACGCTCTCTCTTAGGTTATTTACTTTGTATATTGTATGTAAATGAACTCTCAAGTAGAATTGATTCCCAGCTGCTACTATGCGCTGATGACGTGAAAAATCTGGAGCGAAATAACAGGAGACACAGATGCCTGTTCACTTCAGGCGGACTTAGAAATTCTGATTAGCGGATCTAAAAAATTAGCTGATGCACATCAACACGGCCAGGTGTGTCTGCATGTACTTTTGGGATACAATGGTAAATAAGTACAGTATAGACGAAGTGCCTGGGGTGAGAGTGGCTCATGATATTATGGCCACGGCCTACTGATATGAGATCACCAATAAAGGGTTTAATACCCTGTGAGCATATATCAAGTTAGTTACTATCATGGTCATTACAGTACATACAACCTTAGTGGGAACTAAACTTGAAAACTGCGTCCAGAATCCAGACCTCTTCACTTTGTCCTACCTCAGATAAGGAGGTGACTTGACGATGATGTAAGGAATATTAAGAAGTATTTGTGAGCCTGATATATCCTCTCTTCTTCTACCTAATAATTCCGGACAACTCAGGGCACATCGCAGGTGAGTAGAAAAGCCAAGAGCAAACAAAATACCAGTGGCATACAGGTTTTCGCACTGAGTTATCAATTCTTGGGGCCTGTTACCAGAAGCAGTGGTGTCCACACCCACACGTGACTCATCCACTAGACACTAACAGAAACATACTATAAAAAGGAAAACATAGGTTTTCTGCTTTTACTACACAAATCTGAATGTAAATGTGACTATGAAATCAACTTACAGACAGGTGAGCTTCTAGATAAACAGAGTTCGTTCTTATGACTAAAGATAATATGACTGACCCAGGATAAGCATTGTCTCCAATTTTCGATTCAAAAAACAGGATGGATGATTACTGTGTATAAAAACTGAGCAAATACCGAAGAATCTTGTTTTGCAGGAACTGATAAACATTTTTACCCAACACTAATTAATGAATGACGAAAACTACGGTTTTACATATGCATTTATTCACCTGATCGACTGCTTTCAAGATACAGCAGTAGAAAACATCCATCTCATATGTCAATGAAATTTTACCCTAATCGTTATCACGAAAACTCATGACAATAAAAGTAAGTACATGTACTCACTCATTGTTGAATTAAAATTATGGGGAAGTTTTATGAAACCCAACAAGGAATGTCTGATATAACTAACCAATAAATATTCAAAATAACTCACGACGTTGCACAAGTCTTCTGATTCTTCCAATTTGCAATTCTTTAGAGATAACTTATCACTGATAACTTGATGACTCCTCTCTGACTTATTGTGATTAGAAAACGGTTCAGGTGCACTAAATGAATGCAGATTTAAATACTTTTGTACAGTGCATGATAAGGTACTTCAAAAGCCATTAGGTTCACTTAAAGATCAATCTCAATATTGTACACGTTAAGTCATTACTGTATTAAATTTCCTCAACATGTTCAATATCCAATATCTCGATAAACGTGTATAAACTGTTAGATTCATTTTCTCACGCTTCTCTCGGTCAAGTTGTGGTTCTAAATCGTCGATAATAAGCTTCTATCTCTAATAGTGTGCATTTAAATTGAAGGTACTCTATGTGCAGGTATAGTACTCAGGCCAGTGTTTCTTAGGAATTCAAAGAAACAGATGCACCAGCGAGAGACAGAACGTATTTCGAACGCTTCTAATAGAAGTAAAAAGCAGTAAGGAATAAGGACAGAATGGCAGTGGCGAATATAGGTGAGATTGCAAGTGCATTACAATAATAACTAATTTACCATTTGCATACGTATTGATGTGGAAAGTCAGTTCTACGTCCTTTTTGTTTAATACAGACAGTTTGACTTTTCAGTTGCACTAATGATAGTAATTTTGAAGGCTCTTGGAAACTAGAGTATTTATAGGGTATTTGATTCATTTAGGCGATTTAGTCCAGGGGCAGTCGCTCACCCGCTATCATCCTAATGTTGCATCCAATGGCTAGATCGCCTTCTTTTTTTCGTGAACTAGTCAGGTTGGTTCAAGCTGACTCAATACACCATTTTTGTTACATCTTTGCATTTCTGGGTAATGAGATAATACTGCCTAAACTTTTCAGAGGTCGAGTTTCAAGTTGATTTTTACGTTTACCTTTCTATTATCATCACGTCCATTATGAACTCATTGAAATTATCTAAAGTTCAATGACTTTTAGCATTTTTATCTTATTTGTAAAGACATTCTAGGACTAGACAATGAGTTTTAGAAACGATCGGGGGGGGAACATAACGACCCCAAAAGATGTCTCTGCAACGCTGTAAGCTTGAGTGTTGTACACTTGTCCATGTAGCCTCGGTCCCAGGAGTAAGTTGTAATTGAACCGGACGGCGTGCCTGTTTTTGCCGCACCATCCGAATTTGTGAGTTGACGCAACTTGAAGTTAAATAACAGAATTCTCTATGATCCTATTAGTGTACTGGAACTAGGTTCTGTCATATGTTTATGTTTTCACACACAATAGCGCAAGGTAAAAGACTAGGAATTTTTAGAAGACTTAAATTTAGGAGCATTAAGAAAGAATCTTATGAATAATTTTGAGCGGTCGAAGATGAAAATTAGTTGCGCTTAAATATTATTATTCTGCCGATTTACGCAACGTTTAAGATCCAAAACATGTGTCTATGCGCATCTATGAGCCTCATGTCACTTGAGTGAAAGAACTAGTGAGGCAATGCAGAGCACTTACTTATATTGATAATAATAAATTATTCCTCAGTGCTTTTTGTTCGGTGGATGTTCATTTGTAGGTCGCATTATGAACTATCGTGTAAACCGTTAAGAAATATTACGTTTCTAATAATCTAAAATATCGTCTGACACTGTCGGTTAAAAAAATGATGAAATTTTGTTAGTTTAAAATCCAAACATTTCATTCAGCTTTGGTTTATAGCCTTCTATTTAGCTACAGACTTAATGGCGTCACTAGCGGTCGTTAGTGAACAATCATTTGAGTGTAATTCGTCATTATGCATCACAGTCATCGACTATGAGAAGACGTTTGACAATATGGATAGAAGAATTTTATGGGACCTTCTTCGACACTTTACTGTACCTCAGAGATCGTCACCGTAATACAGTATTTCTACGACGGAATACATTGCAAAGTCGTACAAGAAGAACAGCAGACAGACGCGTTCCAATCACAATCGATGGAGGAACTATGAAAGCGGCAGAAAATACCACGTACTTGAGCAGGATCATCAATGAATAGGGAGGATTTGATGTGGGCGTAAAGGCAAGGACTGGCAAAGCATAGATAGCACTCCTACAGTTGAAGAACAAATGGAGTTCAAAACGATTGTCAATCAACATAGAAGCCAGAATCATCAGTACGAATGTTAAGGCAGTTCTGTTGCACGGAGCCGAAACTTGGAGCATTAATACAACCATAATCAAAAAGATAGAAGTATTTACAAACTGCTGTTTACGTAAGGTATTCAATGTCCATTGGTCGAATAACTTCACCAACAACCTACGGTTGCTTCGAGCTGAAGGTAAATTAGGAAAATACGTTGGAAATGGATAGGACATACATCCAGTAATTTACCAATCTGCATCACGAAGCAAGCCGTAACTTGTTGACGTAAAGTCTATTGTGACAAACTCAACTATGTTACAACATTCAAACTCTGACCGTGAAACACACTTGATCCTCTGCATCGACGTATTTCAAAAAGTTGTAGGGCAGTACTGCAACAACGAGTAAGTGACATTATAACAACTATAGGATTTTTCTCTCAACGTCCGTTACCAGCCCAAGAACATTATAGCACCTTCGGACGTGAGTTAGTAGCCATTGATATGGCGGTAAAACATTTCACTTTCTAATTACACAGACGGTAATTTACGATATTGACCGACCACAATGTCTTGTTTTTCCTTTAACATGTCATGTGTTGACAGTCACCACATGAAGCGCGAAATTTAATTACATTTCACAAGTTATAACTGACACCCAGTTCAGAAAAGGGCACCCCAATATCGTAGCCGATGCTCTACGAGAAAAGATATCAATACGCTAGTACGAAAACAATATATAAACCTCGAAACTATCGCCAAATTACAAGTACACGATGTAGACCTAAAACTCTAAAGTTCAACTCGGTTCTCAAATTTATACCAATTCCTTTTCGGATTTATCAATTACCAGTGATATTTCAAACGGTAACAATGGTCCTTTTGTTTTTAAAACTTGCCGACGATGGATCTTTCAACAATTACACGAACTTTCACATCCTGAGTCACATGAAAACCCATCGCGGGACGTTTTGTCTGGCCAAAAATCAAAGCGGGTGTAAAGAGATGGACACGAAACCATATGAAGTGTCACTGTAGCATGGTCCCACTACACACACTCAGCTTCTTTAGGGAGTTTCCACTACCCGATAGACGCTCCCAAAACGTACATCTAAATATTGTTAGTCCTCTTCCACCATAGAACTCTTCATGTGTATTCTTCTTGCTATGGTTAGGTTTACCAGATGAGCGATATCATTTCTTATCAAAGACACGTCAGCAGAAGTTGCATTAGTATTTCATGACCACTGGATATCAAACTACGGAATTCCATCAATTATTACTAAAGACCACGGTCCTCAGTCCCAGTCCGTCCTGTTTTAAGAGTTTGCCATACTTTTGGGATTCAACCACACTAGGATAACAGCCTACCTTCCAACAGCGAATGGCTTGGTTGAGATTTCACGGTCAAATGAAAGGCCCGCCATGAGCCCTTCGCGGGGGGTGGGGCAGATCCCGCACACGGACAGTCACCACCTCCGGTTTCGCGGGCAAACGACTAACCTCTAGACTCCTGAGTCACCAATTTATCCACGAAATTCAATGGACATATTCCACTGTTTTCAGTGGATAATCGCCACATAGTCGATACAGATCAATTTCAATGGCGACATTTCACTAGAACTCTGAAAATTCTGTCTCAAAAATAATCACTGGGAACATATGATTATTTCCAATACGGGTTGTGGGGCTTGTTTAAATTCATTGAAATGTAATTCATGTCATAAACACATGAATAGCCCTTACCTCCTCTTGATAAGCAGAGAACTTTACTAAGTCATCCCTACGAAGGTTCATTGTCACAAACGTTAGGTAAAAAAATGCGAGTCGGGATCCTAATTGTTTGGAAAGTGAACCACCTATGAAACTGCTTCCCATCAATTACGTACCAATTTCAGTTGCATATTTCATTTTAAGACGTTTTATGACTTAAGTAAATCAAATTTATTGCCGTCAATAGCCATCACTTGGTCACACATAATACTGCGTATCATCTACTAACCAGTATTATGTTCCTTAATTTTACCAATAGGCAATTTGTCTCATTCATCCATAAGATACTCTTCTATAACAATAATGCAATAAAAGTGAACCACAAAGCTTTCCCGTTTTACCACGTCAATCTCATATCTAGAAAAATATTTCCATCACTTCGATGTTGTTCTTACTTAAAATGACTATATGCAGAAAACGAGAATCACTATCGTATAAACAATAATAATGAATGACGGAACTAGGATTTAACAAGAAAAATAAATCAGCGAAAATAATAAACAGCCAGTATACATACACAACAGAAGAAACACTCTATGCAAGGCATGAGAATTTTGACTCTCCTTACTTTCTCTATTACACGTACACATCCTCTTTCGTAAATTATGGAATGTCAGTTCATTTAGATATCAGTTGAGATTGACAAGAAATAGAAATGATGAGATTACAAATAATCCTCTTTACATCATGAGATTATTATTTATCAGTAATACTATTATTACTAACGTGAAAGAATATTATCATACAGTATTGTCTATTATTATGTAATAACTAATATGATAATATAATTCATGAGAAAATATCAGCAGTTTTGTATGGCTTCCCTGTATTATTCCATTCTTTTTTATAGAAAAACACGGTTCAGGTGTACACACAGGAAAAATGCTGAGAATTGTGAAATGGAATTTCGAGGATGGTTAGTAATATTTATTCAGAAAGACTATAGTAATGTAAAATGGGGACCAAAATAGATTGAAATACGAAAGAAGACGGAACTCAGATTGGACAAAGAATAAAATAGATGAGACTACAGAAAAGCAAAAAATAAATTTTGTCATCATCGACAAAAACAAAGGTTATGTTTTAGAAAAAGTAAAAATATTATTATCATGAGCTAGTGTTGACATGTTGACATTAGTGAAGGATTAGAAATGAAATAATTTTGACGGAGAAAAATGCTGATGAAAGCGGCTCGCTTAAGCTGTTTCATTGCAACAGCACCTTTCTGAGCTGTTGTTGTGTTCGACGATTCAAGAAAGAATATCTCACCAAAACATGGAGCTGTGAAAAAATAGAAAGAAAACAAGGTCAATAAATGGAACGTGTTAAACAGCAAGAAGAAGAAAGTCAATCACAAGGTTATCAAAGAGCAAATTTCTCAAAAAAACTCAATAGCAGGACAGAAGTAACTGATTTGCCAGGTAAAAATTCCAACCACGCTACAGATGTGAGGGATAGACATGTTTGACTGATAAATTGAAATGGATTGATCGGAATTCTAACCCATAACCTAACAGCTCAAAGTCAAACGCTCTCACCGCTGAGCCATCGCTTCATACCGTTGATGTAGTAATTTTGATGTTTGTGAGTTTATATATTAGACGTTAGTGACGTTTGTGAAGAACAATAGAAAAAACTTGAGATGTCACAACTATTATCATATATCATCAACAGGTAGTAGATAGATCCCAAAATAACTGGTGATAAAAGATGATACTGGTAACAGGTGAAGAGAGATATTAGAAGTCACAAGACCAAGAATACGTATATTCATATACAATGAGTTGAAATAAGATGTGATGGTAAGCAAGCAATCTTTGAATTGATTTATCTGTATAAAACTAAACTGAAATAAAACTCGGACGATTAATAAAGGTTCGGTGCTAATGCGGTATGGCAACTTGGACTGATGCATATATATGGCTGGTCCTACGTTTTAGCTGACTGACTGAATAAAGGTTCGATTTCAAAAGATTCAAGATTTAACCACTACACGTTTTAGGCATATTATGGTATCTTGTAAACACTTAGATCTTGTTATAAT